GGGGCCGGGGAAGGGGGGGGCCGGCGCCGGTGCAGCCGCATCGGCACCCGGCGGCCTCTTCCTTTTAAAGGGGCAGGGAGGTTATTCCGGAGGCCGGGGAGCCCCGCACCCCCTCCCCGCCTCCGCTGGCAGGCGCAGGGCAGCATCCGTCCTTGCTCGCTGCCCCGGGTGACAGGACACCCCCATCACCTCATTCCGGGCAGGTGCCTGTAGGTACATGTAACCATCACATTCACCACAAAGTGCACAAATGTGCGCACCCAGGTTTCATCTCGACGTAAAAAGGGCATTTTTTTACAATGAGAGCAATCATCCACTGAAACAACCTCCCCAGGGACATGGTAGAGTCCCCATCGCTGGAGGTTTTCAAGACGCGACTGGACAGGGTGCTAGATAATCTCTTCTAGGCTCCCTTTCCCATGAAAGGTTGGACCAGGTGATCTTTCAAGGTCCCTTCCAGCCTGGGCTATCCTATGATTCTCCCTCCCAAGGCAGATCATGCCCTTTCTTGGTTCCTGTCCTGGCAACTGGGACTCATACAAGCACGCAATCATTTTGGTTGGAGGCTTGGTCCAACCCCTGCCCGGAGCAGGTCTCTCAGGGCCTTGCCCATCACACCTGAACATCCTCACGGACAGAAAACCCACCACTGCACTGGGCACTGGTGCCAGTGCTGTACTGCTGCTACTTTTTATCTCTATGGGATTGACATTTTCACTGCACACCTTCAAGAGGAGTCAGGCTACTTCTTCCCTGTAATGCCCATTAGGCAGCCAGGGACAGCAGTTACATCCCCCTTGGCCTCCTCCTCTTGAACAAGCCCCTTCTCATACACCCTGCATTTGCACATATCAGGATGCGAAGCCGTGCAGAAGGGACACCCAACAAGCCGGCAGCCTGACATTAGATTTCCAGTCACCCGCTGGCAGTGGCTGTGCTCTGGCTGGGGGCAGCCCCCCTCTTTTCCTTTGCACCCCTGGAGCAAGGTGGCCACCGTGGCCCGTGAGGGCTGCGAGGAGCGGATGCCCTCATGGCTGCGTTGCTGGGCGAAGTGGCACCGATGTCCCCCTGCGGCTGCAGGT